AAAAGACAGAATACTCATTCCTTCTGAGTATATACGTATACCATACAAATATGTTTGTAGGACACAATACATGCTGGTGAAACACAGTAGTACCTTCCCTGCATTTAACGCTCACACTCCATGAAAGTGGTCGTGAGTACACGCTAGTACGTCTCGGTAGTCTACCCGTGTACGTAACCGTATGCGTTCTTTGCCAGTGGCAACGAAAACACCGGCCACGATAACTGGAAATCGCAATGCACTTTTCAATGGTCATACATGCACAACGTGTTAAATTGTTCCATAACACGCGGTTTTTCACTAGGGCGTGCATATCGATGCACAGGTGACATAACTTAATACGTCTTCTTTTTATGCACCGATACTTTATTGCGATTCCCAGTACACGTGTTCCACTATTCATGGAACTTGCAAATACGAATGATACCTTTGTGTCTTGCGACACTGGTTCCGGTTTTTGAAACGTGCTGTCGCGTCTCGTGGTATTGCGCTAACTGCTACAACATGCTCATCTAAGAAGGCACCACTATGTTTTCCCCTTTATTTTAAACATACCGGTATGGTTCCGTTCTTTCTACTCTATATTCAAATCTATTATTTAAATTTCTTTTACACATTAATGAATTCAATACTATTTTTGTACCAGCTGACTGTATAGTTGTAGACTATTGTGAATTTATTGTATTTTCTATATTCTGCAAATTTCCTTATGTAAATCGTATTTCATTCTAGATTCATAAATGATACCACACGACGATATTGAAATTATAAGTAAGCAATGTGACTTCGTTCGCATCACATTCACCTCTATATCAAACTTTTAAAGTTGAACTCATAAATATACTTTTAATATAAAATATTTATGAATTGCATTACTAATTGTAAACATGGCATACAAGAAGACCCTAGCCTAGCTAAGGAACACAACAGATCAATGTTACTACTCGCGGATATGATTGCATATCCGCGTTCACTGTACTCGCCAAATTTAGCACGTATACAACCAGTCTCCCGTGCCGCTTCGGACCTATCGTCCTACGGCATGATTGGGGACCAGAGGAATAAAAAAGCATGCGACTCACCCGATGATAGGCTGCGTATAAGACAAGAATGTTGAATCAAGTGGAGCTTTGCCCGAGGACATCTTATTGAGTACTCAGTGATGAATATGAGCTTTGCTGGATGACATTATCCTGAAAATCCAACGAAAAAAATTATTAGTTGCTACTCTTTTAACAGGTTAATATTCTTTGATTCTTTCTCATTTAATCTGTAATTAAAATAATTCAAATTTGTGTTAATAACAATTGAAAAGCAAAGATTGGATACTTATTAATTTAATAGAATTCAGTCATTAAGAAAAAGACCCTAACGGAAATTCATTTTTAAAGACAAAAAGACTAATGATGCATGATTCTTTAATAAGATATTTGACTCTACACATTGAACCCACGGGTGATCTCATTGTCAAAGCCATTGCAAGACACATAACATAAGTCTAGCAAACATGTTACTTTGACTCAGAAACCTATCCATCGCAAAATGTCTTCTTATACATGATCTGTAATATAATGTTTGTATGGAACACTATATTTTGATGCAAAGTATCATATTTATCAATCATGCAAAATATGAAATTAGATCAAGCTATTCAGTGATATTCTCATTGGATACCATTTTGTATTATCATTGTGTGATTATTTGGTTTATGCAAAGAAGAAGTCTGAGGTCACATTCCCTTACTAATGTTTCATTCATCATATATGTATTCAATATATTCTAGCCTATAGAAATTCATATATACAATGCACTCAAGAATATGCATTGAATATTAAGAGTATTAAAACTGCTTTGTCCAATTATAAAATGTTTATTAATTGTATCAGTAGTAGAAAATACTATGTATAAGAAGACCCTACCCTAGCTAAGAAATACAATTGATCAATGTTACCTACTCAAAGGTATGATAGCATACCCACGTTCACTACACTCCCCAAATTTAGCATATATACAATGAGTTGCCTGTGCCACATTGAACTAATCATCCTATGGCATAATTGGGGACTGGAGTAATAAAAAAGGCATGCAAGGACTCACCCGATGATAGAAGGGTTTACAGTCTTTGCTGGTGGAACTTCACATCAGGATATCCGATTTAATGTTCAGTGATGCAACATTTAAAGAAACTGAAAAAAAAAACAAGACAAATTTGTTACACTCAATATTATTATTACTGATAAATATGACACGCCAATTATTCAGTTTATAATATTTATGAATTACATTGTAGCATAATACATAACTATGCTGCAATCATGTTTGTTTTTTACTTAATCAATGTCCCGCTTTTCTACATATTTATAAAATCATTACAAGTACCAAAGTTGCATTATTTATGTATGCTTTAATAAAAAGCATGATAAACTATGCAGCTTGTATTAATCAAATTTACACCAAAAACTGTATATAAATGCAAATACAATAATCTCATATGGAAAGACACGAGAAATTATCTATAATCTATTTTAATACAATTTCACGACCGAGATACGTAAATTACAAACATTTCCAATTTGAATGTCTCAAAGTATTGTAGTTCAAATTTTGTAACATTCAAGGAAGCCATTTTGAATGCTTCAACTACATAACAATATGTATTAAAAAAATTGCTCCAAAAAATTCTCATTTGATCTTAACACAAACCACGAAATCCCGATTATTTCACTTACGGTTAAAAACAATATAAAAATACGTAATGAAGTGTCACTTTGCTGTCATAATAAATGTTATAATAAATATTATAATAACTTACCAGAATTCACCAATTTCCTGCCGAATTCCGTTTGAAGGCACTCAGCGATGCTCAGGTCGGTAGTGCGTACTTCCAAACCGAAACTCTGAAACAGAAAATAAACATAAACTTTAAGTAATTACACTACGTTAAGAATAGTTAGGTTACAAATTAAGAATTATTGAACTCGTGGTGTGTCGCGAAGATTGCAAATTGGATCAGAAATATGTAAATGTTACATTAATTGTTACACAGTGAAACCGAAGAGTAAACCGAAACCTACGATATCGAATTAATTTGGGATTATTTAGTCTAAATTGGATAAATATTTAAGGACAGTAACGATAGAGAGCTAATGAAGGTCTAGGAATTAATATATATATGAATAAAGATGAAAGGTAAATGTCAAACACTCACTTTGATACGAGCAAACGGCTTCTACGTCTTATCCCGCCAAATTCTCCGAAACGAATGACACTTCGGTTACATTCGGCCGGTCCCGAGCGGTTCATTCGGCTATCTTCGGGAGATCCCGAGTAGCTGATTGGTCAGAGCGGTATATCCTCGAGTAATACGATTTGGCGGGAACAAACATGTGCACCACCCCAGTTTAAACGACGACTGTAACACCACCGACTAGGTATAGAATAGACCTATCATTCAATGCTTTTTTCTGTTTCACGTTCATAGGGCCACGTAACAATGTTACCATTTTGGTGTCAATACCCGACGTTAACGATAAATCATGAATTCTGAGTATTATTAGCACAAATGAAGTGTTATATATTCCATTCATATTGCGTGTATCTATATGATTTGACGGGAATAAAAATTTAGAATGCTTCAGTTTAAGGTTAAGGAATAAATATGACAGTCATGAAACATCGATGAGATGATCGATGGAACTTTTTCTATTCCGTCTATCTCTTTCCTTTGAGTATTAGCGACTACGTTGCGTTTAGTTTAAGTCATTTTGTATTAATAGCATTAATTCGTATTAATTAGAATATTAAGATAATATTAGTTCTAAGCGGAAGAACGAAGACAACCGACGAGGGAACTTAGTTTTTTATAGGTTTAGGCTCAAGAAAGAAGTCATCCGCCGAGGGACGTTAGTACCGATAGTATTACATAGTTAAGATTTAGGTTATTTATAAGATTCATTGTGAAAGGTAGGTAGATGTAGAACTTATGATTCCATCTACCTGCCTTGGGCCTCCACTCGCAGCAACCTCCTCGTGGTGAGGCCTGGGCAATCGGTATTATCTTCGGTAAAGTACTGTAAACTGAAGACAATATCGAGCTAATGGCTGCTTTGAATCTATCTCATAAAATCACGTTCTATATTACATCGAACAAGGATTATTCTAGAAATCGATATGAGATTCAATGTGTAAAAATGTCTAGTACTTTGAATGTTTTAGAAAATTATTCGAGATAAAGATGTATGGAACTACTGAAAATTACTTCATTTTCCTTTTCCTTATTCTGTAAATTCTTTGATTGGAGTATGAATGCTGCTGGAAGTATGAACATTTTCACAGGACAATGATATAAATGGAACTTTAAAGCTTTTTTAAGTGTTACAGTGATATTTCGTTACATGTTCCATAATGTCAAAAATATTGATTTCCCCGCAACGTGCATAATTATTACAAATGTCAATATAACGAAATATCTTTTATGCGATGTTTGTGGTGTAATAAAAATCTGTTTCGATTACGTTTTTGATACGTATTACTTACTTATATGTAATAATATAGAATAAAAATATACTGTTAGTCCGATACTTGAAAATATACATGGGTTCGTTGTCACTGTTGAACTGTTGTAATAACAATGGAATAATAAAATAATTTACTCAAATGTACATAATAATACATATACATATTCATAAAAACAATATTAAAGGCAATAAGTTTTTTGTGCGCGAAAAGGAACCAGGCAGTACTTCACAAATTGATCGTTCTCATAACGTAGAGGGCAGCAGAAATTCCCTGACTTTTTACACTATCGGTATTTCAGAACATGAGACACGAAGTCCCATAAGATGATAGGTCTATCCTATACCTGGTCGGTGGTATCATTTCCGTAGAACAGAAATCTGTAGCAGCCTACGTGGGTGGTGGCGCTATCTTTCGCAAATATCTTAAATCATCACATGATATTCTATCTTTGTTTACTGCACGAATTCATGGGTGTAGCGTTGACCGTTTTTGGTTATTGTGCCGGATCGTGTGTGTCAAGCGAGCATTGCGATTGAATCAACGTGGACTCTAATAAATAAAACAAAATGTCAGAAATATCCATGGCTGAATCGCCGCACCTGAAACAAGTTGATCTAACAACCCTAAATCTCCAGCAACTCACAGTTCTGAAGCAGCAACTGGATCGGGAGCTGGGTGTCTTTCACGACTCGTTGCAAACCTTAAAAATTGCTCAAAGTAAATTTCAAGAGTCTGGATCTTGTCTGGAGAAGATTACTCCTACTATGAAAGGTATGGTTTGGTTGCTTAATGTTTTTAACGTAATTTTTAACCTATTTCTTTTTGCTCCTGTATATTTATCGAGGTTAGAAACTTTTATGAGCTGTATTTATTATGATTCTATTTAAATGATTTTCTTATAGGCAATGAAATTCTTGTACCGTTGACTGGCTCGATGTATGTTGCTGGGAAATTAGCAGACACAACTAATGTATTAGTTGATATTGGGACTGGGTATTATGCTCAGAAGAGTGTTCCAGATGCAAAGAATTACTTCGACAGGAGAGTCGCTTATGTTACAGAACAAATGGAAAAAATTCAGCAGCTAGGTCTTGATAAAAGCAAAGTAAGAGACGCAACAGTGGATGTGATAGAAATGAAACTACAAAGTCAGATGCAGAAAGAAGTCCCGGAGCATGCATAATACATTAAACTTAATAAATTCAGTGTTTAAATGTGTTTCCTTTGTCATTTATGTTAATTCACATCACCGCTATTACTGAATTGTATCACTTTGCATTTTATTGTTGAACTTTAATAATAATTATGCATTGTAAGGCGAAAGTAAATTTAGATGTAAATCAAAATACGGAATGTATTTTGTAATATTATCTGTTCTACATCATATGAAAGGATATCATTCATTTACATATTGATATAATAGTTTATTTTGTACAGCAGTATCAATCTGAATAAATTATAACTTCCATTTTACAGTGCTATATATGGTACAATAAGTTTGGAATCCTTCTCTACTTTCAAACTATAAATTTATTTAATATTAAAATTTACATTTATATATATATATACACGAAAATTTTAAGTATAATTTGAAACACGACCAACAGTCTCTATTAACAAAACATACATTTTCAACAATTTATGACTAAAACCAAATAAAGTGTCTCGTTACGTACAGCCTTTTTCACTATGGCAGTCGATGTGTCAATATTCTTGTCCCCCCTGACTGATAAGCTGGCTACGCTCATGAATATCTGCAATTTTTTTAGGCATAAAAAGAGTAGCTGTTACATATTTCAATTGCATTGATATTTAAGGAATACAAAAATACATCACTATCCCGAATGCCAACTTACGATTCCTAAAAATTGTTGGAATGTCTACAATTACAGAATAAAGAATATAAAAAAGTTGATTTTTTTAAGCAATGAACTGAAGAAACCCATTTTCTATAATTTATATTTATATTGTGTACTGGCGGAATCTGTATGAAAAAAATAATTGAAGATACGGTTTTAGAAAGGAGTGTTTGGGTAAAAGGTTTCAAGAAGTAAAGAGACAAGAATAACGAAGGTGAATTATTTATTCTTTTACGCAAAATTTCATTCTCAAATAATAACAGCTTTTACCTAGAAATGTTGTAACATACATTTCGGTAGCTATAACGTTACAGAAGAGGTATCAAAATCATCGTCGGAGGATAGAAAACACGGTGTATTATCGTTCAAATAATTTTCCCGAATACCTGATGCGACATATCTTCAATCTAATAATATTATGACATATTATTTCGGATTATAAATTCATCTCGCTTGCAACGAGATTGCGTGGATCGCAATTACACGTAGATAATTCGCTAAATTTTTATCCTATTTACACGAATAACATACGGTCGATATTTATGTTAACGAAAGATTTCCCCCCTTCCTTTCTTTGTCGCACTTAATAATTTCAAAATTTTACAAACAATTTTCCCTCTCCTTTTCAGCACAGTCACATCCACAAACTCTGAATGATTAGTTCATTGATGTTATCTCAAACTGCACAGCAACAACGTGACTGCAACATTAAAGTAGAACCCTCCTTCCATATATTTCGATGCACTACCTGAAATAAGACAGGAATACCTATGAATAATATGAATATAAATAAATTATTGTATCAACTATTGTTATATTCATTTTTCTTCACTTAGACTTTCAAAACTATAAATATTAAGCATCAATTAATATAACGTCAAAAAATGATTTAAGAGATAATTACACAGTTTCCGAAGGCATTTAGAAATTATAAATGCAGACAGACTATACTATATCTTCGAAGGAAAAAATGAGATAATAGCTATCAACTAAGATCAATGTGTACTGTCAATATGTTTAAGTAATATAAAATGTACTCTGTCCCTAAAAATGAAAGAAGAAGTTGAAGTTACAGGGTTTAGTGACACTTCTGAAACGTATATTCTTTGCCAATGATAATTTATAATACACTAAACTTATTTTACGGAATTCGGAATCTGAGTGAGATAAGTTAGTTTTGAGCTAGCATCGAATTTATTATTACATAACATTTATTATTAAATGTAACATAATTACAGGAATATTTATAGTTTATCCAATAAACTAAGTATTTACTCATGTTGAATTCTGCAGATGCGAAACCATTTACAAAACATACCAATATAAGAAGATTCTCGAGTTCCCAGAACAGATGCCAAACGTGGGCGTTCCTCGATCAAAAGAACATCAGCCTGTTTTTTATACAAATGAAACACGTTAGCGTGACAAACAACGTGTAATCCGCTATTACTAAAACTATCTGGTATAATCTCGAAATCCAGTCCTGCGATAGTCATTAATTGCTGATTGTCACCAAGCTTGTCCGTCACATTCATCATGAAACTGGCGTTCACCTGCAATAAACAATCTCTGTTAACAAAATTCGAAGTGTTTGCAAAAATCAGATGCTAAGACCAAACTACTATTTATGCTTTAATACTATAAAAAACTGTATGTAATTTGTCACTACACGCTGCAATTTTCTATTTAATAGTCATGTAAAATAATAATTTCACAGTATGGTATACAGAGAACAGTGATCCAAAAGTGATTAACATAGAAAAGTCGAGTTATCATTTTTACTAGATCCATGAACAAACGAACTGTATATTAAATATTAATTCACTGAAAGTCAGAAGTTGCATCGTATCTTTTATTGTTCCGTTGTTACGGTTGCTCCATAGTGAGGCAGGCGAATGGTAAAAGGCACAGTACTCTTACTATTTCCTATTTCCCGTTTACGCGGTTACGCCTCGTTCCGAAGCTGTAAATGATTTGCGGTTTATTCGGTCATAACTATAATATTTATCGGATTGTTGGAACATCCGTAAACCGTTTTACACTGCTAGCTTGCATCAAACTTAGAGTTCCGGATTAAATGAAGTAGGTCTGAATTGGAAACACACCGATGCATCAATGATCCGTAGCTGTTTATAATCCTTTGAGCCACGCGACCACAAATTCATAACGGTATTGTGATACATCAACGTATATCAGATAATCGATTTATTTTTATACAGTTCCCAAGCATAATTTAATTGTTGATTTATTGTTTCATTTTCAGATAAAATTATCACTTCCTTACATTTTCGATTAATTGTCCGTTTCTTTACTTGCTGCTCCAAGTATGTATTCTTATATTTAAATTTCTCATAACTTAAATTCAGTAACACAAAATATAACATAAATCACATTGCATGTGTGCCTGTACCATGACAAAATATATTCAATTACTTTTATCGATCTTTAATCGTTTCTACATGACTGTTTGTAGTCAGAAAGTAATTCATCGGTAAAATTTACAATATACTTTTATTATAAACACTTTTCAATGTTGTTGTTCACTAAAATAATTAAGATATTTCTAGAATTCTAATATTTGAGATCTATTCATTTTTGCAGAGTATTTTTCACTATTTGATTAAATTTTTAATTCCTAACAGTATAATATTTTACTAATACTGATAAATCCCAAAAGTATGATCTAATAATTATTATATTCTTTGCGTAGTTCACGCATAGGTCTAAAGCTCTAATTAAAAAGGAGTAACTGAAGCTCTAATTAAAAAAAAAAAATTTCGGCATTATAACAGAGGCGAAGGTACTGAAATATTGATCGTTCTAATAATGACAGCTTATCGATACTATCAGACCACCGTTCCCAAAAGTTTATGCATCCATCAACTTACCGGCACTCCATTGACAGTCCACGTCACATTCGCGGGTGGGTTTCCCGAAGGAACAGTGCAGTTTCCACGAACAGTGTCGCCAACAGCGTAACGTTTTTTCTCGACTCTTACCTGAGGCTCGCCGTTTGGAAGACCTGAAATTTATTGGAACTCTTAATAAGGGAAGAAAGCTGGTGAACCACGCGACACAGCTACTCTCTTTGTTCGTACATTGGTCAGTTGTTACGTTTTCTCTTGCGCCTCTGTTACGTTTATTTAACGTCGATGAATATTCCAATAAAGACTGTTGTTCAACAGCATTGAAAAACAGCCATCGTAAACAATTCGATCCTTGCGGTGTTTAGTGACCTCGATAAACAAGAGCAACGAATGGGTCGAAAATATTTATAAAGCGGACTAACCTCGTGTTTCTGGTCGTGAAAATACATTCAATTTAATCGTGAATATCAAAAAAATATGGTAAGCTAACAAAAGAACTGTGACGACTATAACTTTATCACTTTGCAAGTGAATTAGTGAATCAGAACAATTGTCCTGGTTTAGTTACGACTGTTGTTGTGTTTGCGAACATTTTCCTTGGAAGCTGATATCGTTGCTTCGTATTTCTTTTTAGAATTGTTTTTTTGTTTATATGCAAATTAGAAACTTTTTAATGAATTCATAAAATATTCTTCACTCTCCTGGAAAAAACTTACAGCACGTGCAGGTTTCTTTTATTTCTTTCTACGTTCTTTCTTGGGCCAAGTAACCTTATGCAATGTTGTTTAAATCTCTGTTTCGTAACATGCAAGTTTTCATATCATTGTCGAACTAAATCTTTTCAAATTATGAAGTGTGTTACGATCGATGTAAAAAATAGTAATATACGCATGATGAAATCATGATTACAACTTTCACATAGAATTTCGAAAATTTAATAGCAAATTGTACTGGATATACTATTTCTAGTGAGAGCAAGAGAGAGAAATTAAATGTCATAGCCATATAATTATATGTATACATATGTATAAAGGAAAGTAACGAATTTGAAATGTTCTGAAACTTCATTAATTAACAGTTGACTAAAATTTGTTGCATATATGAGTGAAGAACTCAAATAAATATTCAGTGGGTCCTATTTCAATTTTTACAAAATAAATTCCATTTTGTATAATTAAGTCATACATTTAGATATACATATAATTTATATAAAGACGATCCCAACGACATTACAAATTAAAATCCGTTGAAAATTGAAGTTGAAGCAGATTAAATCAAATCGGAAATATTTTCTAAAACAATTTAAAAATTCAGAAATAGAATTCTATTTGTCCACGGAATATAAATGTGGTCAGCGTATTCCAATTGTCCCGTCCGGAATTTTATTATTTAACCGACTATTGTAATATGCAGTCTGAGGATGCCTCGTACAATGCCCACTTATGAGGAGGTCCGTTGACTGCGCACCCCCTCATAAACTTTGCATACTGACCTCCATTTCGAACAATATGCGCCCACCCTAAGTTACATAACTGGAGATTCCGGATTTTTTTGGATTATCCCTGAATTATTTATGCGAATTTATGTAAAACGGTAAGTAAAAAATTCAGCATAATTCTCCTGTACTTGGGTTCTTTTCTTATTATTTTCGAATTAATATGCGAATCTATGTGAAACAATAAGTAAAAGATCCAAAATAATTATTCTTTACTTGAAACTTTGGATATTGAGAAAACAGACTTTTTCGTTTTCTTGTTCAATTATTCTGAAATATCCTTTCAAAATTTTTATTAGTACACTTTGTACAATAATGTTTCTTATGAACTAACTACATCTGTAAACTATAGATGCACGGTGAAATAAATTGTTGCGAACTGATTTCATTTACATTTTCCAATAAGTATTAATATTCACATCAAGTAATTGTGTTATTTCCAGGTCTTTCTTGTGCCTTTCATTTGCTTTCAGTGATTTCCCTTGGCACTTTCGCAGTACGTATTGTAATGTAAACTAGCTTTTCACGTTTCTTGAAACAAGGAAATAAGATATTTATTTCATACCAATGATCGTACATACGAAGACGTATAACATGATTTTTTGAAGAAATGATTTTTATCTTATTTTAATTACATTCTTTGTTATTGTATTTGTACAAATGTACAACATATTCTGATTATAAATAAAAAGAACAGCAATATAGAACCATATGGATCTATTTCTATGAATAGCGACATTCAATATTCACCAGGTAGTGCGTATGTATGCAATTGAACTGTGAACATTTCCGTTCAATTATTCACTAGTCGAAGAATTTGTAAATTAATAAAACTACATTCTTGTAACATTAATTCTCGACGATTGCATCGGTACTTTTTCACCGTGTAATTCTTTATTTAAAACGGTCTGCCTCGAAAATGAACGTTGGTTTTTAAAAATTTTACTCCGTAGGTGCGGTTTACATGAATATTCATACGTCTCTGGATTGCGCCTCCAATAATAAATCACTCCGAGGAACAATTTTTATACTACGCGAACTTTACGGCGAAAGCACGTGAAAAATATTTCAACGATCGACGTTTCGTCGACAAACACACGGTGTACAAATGAATATTCACCGATGGTTTTTAAAACGGCACGTTAGGCGAAATCTAATGGCGCATCGGATCACGTAACAACAAGGGGGCGTGACTGGCGTGGGGTTAAAGGTAAAGCGACCGTAGCATGGTATCTGGAACCGCTAGGTACGGAAGGCAATAAAATCACAGTTCGCGATGCCTGGAAAACGCTGATTGGGCGAGGGACGCCGCCAAAAGAGTCTAAAAAGTGCCGATTTCACAGACGAAAAAAGAAAAGAACACAGTTGACTTCGGTTAGCCGTAGTATAAAGGTGTGCTACCAGGCTCCACGAGGTGTAGAAACTTTTCTTGTCTGACTCAGCCTAACGCCGAAGACTTTCGACGGACAGCTTCCGGGCTTACGAATTACTAGAACGGCCGTTAGGATTTTGTCAAGAGGCGGCCAACTATAGCAAAATTTTCAGGCCCATCGAACACGGGAACGTTTACAATTAGTGTTGAAAAACAAGAATAATGTGTGTTGTGTTTGTGAAATGTCAAGATTCTAATAATTTATTACACTTTTGTTGAGTCTTTAAACATTTTAAATCGTGAAGAATACATTAATTAGATTTAAAGTAATGTGGTGTTGCTGAGAAGTGTAAAAAAGATAAGATTGCTTCGATAAGTACACCAAAAAAAGTTTTGTGACATTAAGAAGATTTGAAACTGTATATAAATATGAAATATTTCAATTTGAGGATGACGGTCTCTTTAAGGATTTACAGTTTGAAACTGTTTCACAATGTTATCATTACTTTTTTTAATCATTTCTATTCTATTAAAAGGAGAAGAAAGTAAACCAAGCATTGGGAAAATATCTTTCAAAGTTTCTTTCAATATTACTATTAAAAATCAATTTAGTTGCTTTCAGTTTATTCTGAAGCTGTCTAAAATTCTCTTCTGTCTTTGTAGAACTCTCTCCTCGGCACAATAGGTCAATATGATCAGTACTCCAAGTTCTACAGTTTCATGAGAGATTCGAATTACCATTTCGACCGCTTGTACAGGCGAGTTCTAAATGGTTGCCCAACTAATCGCGGGCACTAGCCGTACTTAGCAAAGTTTAACTTGAATAATCGAAGGATATCTAATTTTAATAGAAGTGCATATTATTAAAAACAAACCGTATTACGATAGAAAAATACTGTATATTTATTTAACTGTACAATCTTTTTATATAAACTAATGACGTTATACAATTGAAAGTACCCTTCATAATAAAATATAATAATTCATATGTCGTAAAACATCTTAAATTTTGATTTGTAAACATGTTTGACAATGTTTAGCAGAAGTGTGATAAATATAACAATGAATTCCATCGAAAAATTGTATTAATCGAGTGACAGGCATCACTGGACCAAACACTATGATACTTCTACTTTATTTTATCTAATTCTCGTATAAATTCCAGAAACCCTGGACGCTGTCAGGTTATTCAATCATTGGATAACCGTGGACAGTGTTTTCCGTCACGCCAACCCGTGGCAAAACGCTCTGTATACATAACACGTCATGTATATCGCTCGGGATCATTATACCATCCACAGAAGGCCAGTCAATTTCCCTTTAGCGGCAGTGGTCTGTCAAAGTATTGTCTGTCTTCACCTGAATGACTTCCGCCATAGCAGCCAATAGTTCGTACCGGATCACCCGATGCGGCTTCTCAAGGACACGACCGCACTGGCGGAGATTATCATTTCGAACGTGTCTCGTAATGTTGTGGATGCGGGCGATCATCCCGTCTGGCGAGAATGGAGAAAAGGAAGAAGTAGCGACGAAAGGGGCAGGGGGGGAAGCGTCTGAGGGATACAAGGTAAGATTCGACGGCTCGATTCACTATCGAGCTTTTACGAGCGATCCGTGATCGGAAAGGAGAGGCAATCGCCTCCGTTCCCTCAAAGAGGAATCGCTACCGTGGTCGCGGCGTCGTTAAGTTGACGTTCAAGCTAGAACACGAGACGGTGGGAACAAAACTTGATGGTCTTGTCCTCTGTTCGCGGTCTCTCCATCCACGTTTTATCCGTCCTTTTCCGTCTGTCTTCGTCGCTCTATACTCCGCCGGTTTCAATTAATCGCAATTACGGTGACAATGCTGTGTCAGAGTGTAGAATGATCGACGACAGTAATGAGGGATGCCGGTGGGGGTGTTCAAAATGGCGAGGATAAAGTGTAACGGGTCACGTTTCGGTTCCCCAATTCGTCACGGATATTCGTGTGCGCGCCTCGTTTCTGACTTTGCTCGAAGTCTACATTCAGAGTTAACAGTGCGTGTTAGAGGATCAAGCGTTGGTGGAAGGGGGGCGGGGGCGGGTGAATTGATTTTTGAAAAGGATCAGGGATTACGATTCACTGGAAACGAGACCTGGTAATTATCTGTAAGTCGGTTAAGAGAGTCGTGATATGGTGGATGATGGAAATGATTAAATGAAAGACACGGGTTTCGGTCGTTTAATGAGACTAAGTGATGAGATTCTTCTGCGGGGTCGAACGTTTTGTCTAGCGCGAGGGGGAGCATCGTCGTCGGTTTCAATGGAATCGCGGTTATATTCAACGATGTGTTTTTGTTCCACCGCGATTCATTCACGATGCCCAGAAAACGTGAAGTAACAGAAAGTCTTTACCGATGAGCTAGCTTCGGTAATTATGTGTTCGTATGATAATAAGGAAACGTCGATGTTATTTATTTGCGTAACGTTGAAATACCGTCCGTAAAAAGGGACACTTAAACGAGCAGGATGCGTTTAATGGTAAAATTACGTTAATTCCTGGAAAACGATAATTTTCTGTAAATGATTAATATTTCAAGGATAATTGGAATTTAGAGGATTTTACGAGAACATTAAAACAGCACCGATGTGCGCTGTTATATGGCGAATTCTTAACATTTACGTGAACAAATTGTACCCCACGGCTGAATTCTGTCTTACCGTTCGCGAAAGATTGAACACATGGATATTGGTGGCCATTAATTTCTTCTTACAGAAAATAACTTAATAGTTGTAACTGAGTGTAGTAAAAAGGAATGACGACGTCAAATATCGTTCCTGAGAAGCGCAAGAGCAAAAACGTGTACTTATGGAAAGTATGTTTCCAAGGTACGTACATATTATATATTAATTTGATAGCTTTTTTCGGTTTTTGTTATCGTGTCTATCGACTCGGAGTTATACTATGTTGTAATATCTATTCCCTATTGGAGTAAAAAAGACGAAATTACGATACTTACTGGCCACGTGCATGTAACCAGAAACGAGTACGGTATTAAATGATGGCGAATCACCGGAGACCTCGCAGCGGTATTTGCCCGTATGATTTGGCTGTACATCCTTTAAAACTACGTGATGAGCATCGCTTCGATTTGTCTGTAACGTGATTAAATATTGCATTAGAAATGTACGTATACTTAATATAACCATATTCACAAATTTTAATTAAGCATCTTGTAATATAACTGCGGAAATAAAGTAAAACATTCAATTTATAAGCAAATGGGCATGGTAAACCAAGACTGCAATTAATTTTTTAATTATAATATCATTTTTAATGGGTTTTAGAACCCGTTATTACGACATGAAGTTAAGAAAATTAAATAATGGTGCTGTGGCATTTATTAGGTAGATAATCTTTGTTTGGGATTGTTATAGCTTAGAAGAAATACCTTTTTATTTATTTACACTTTAATTACGCAGAACGCGAAATTTGAACATTTCAAATATTGTTATAATAGTAGCAGAAGATCATAGATAAGTAAAGAAAGCGTTCTGTAGTTACTATTGGTAATTATCGACGTAGTTTGAGTCACCGTAGGTTTCGTGATTACAGGGTAGTTATTGCAAATCGATCGCACTTACGCGTTTGCTTTGACATTATTGTGCATTGATCCCTTCGCGATAAATAATGTTTCATGACGGTAATTAATTCCGTGTTGTTGATGGTTGCGTATAAATCACAAAATTAATTCCCCTACACTTCGTAATATTGCATGAGCACGGTATAATGATCTTTATAATTTAATTCAACAATTCAACCAAGCTTTCTGTATTTTCTCAACTTTTGTCCCACGGTAATAATTACTTTTTCACGAGTATATTTGAACCATGTTATCAACTTTAAATGTTTTAAATATTTAAAGGAATCGAATGTGGTGAAATACAAACTTCTTTCAAAAACAATTTTTCACAGATATTTTTGAGAATAAATTGATTGAAAATATTTTTCTACTTTGTATATTTTCTGGGATACTCAGAACGAATAGTTATAGCTTCACAATCATTTGATGATAATTTTCAGGCGAATACTATGTACACGAAATTTTAGAAACTATTTGATGCAGCGAATCAGAACATGTCAATTAATATAATTTTATAGAATCAAAGTACAAAATTTCAAAACCTGAAATAATTATTTACAAATTACATACTTCAGAGTTTTGCCTCGTGAGTTGTTTTATTTGAGGGTTTCGATAATAAATCCTTAATAAAATTCAGAACATAATTTCGAAGTTTCGTTAGCTTCATCAGGATACGAAAATATTACATATGTAACAACAATGCTTTTAAAACTTTCCAGAATACAGCACCTATTCTTTAAATCGAAATATAATATTACCATTCTGTCTTTTTGCCAAAACAGAAAATGCCAATGCTCGCAGTCGTGGAATTTCGAACGTGATTCCTCATAAACGAATTTCTCGCGCGAAAGAATGATTTCACATTTATCACGTGTTTTTCAATGAAGAATTACCCTGTTTCCGCTTGTCCTATTATTTTTACCGTGTCCTGTATTTCGTTCTCGCCAATGGCGAGCGCCCGTCGCGATTTATCGGTTCCGTTCGTATGGTCCGTCAGTGAAATCTAATTGGAAAGGTATTGCGTGCATGAGGTGGCTGGCTGTTCGATCGGTCGCACACTTGTGTATGTGTGTGTGAGTGAAATTCGCGCTGTGGAGCAAAGTCTTTAACAGACCTTTAACTTGTGTCGAACCGTTGATTTTGTGACATACACTTTTTTTTTCACACTAGGTATTCCAGGTAACACGCGAACAGTATATACCTACACTCTTCTTTGTAAGTGAATGGAATCGATATTTTTTAGCAGCAAGCAAATTGTTCCATTGAACTTACAAAAAATAAATGCTAAAAAAAGTCACACCCGTCACGTATTCTAAATTTTAACGTTCAAACTGGCAGTGACTTTTTATTTTCATAATAGAAAAGAATTTTAGCCAGGCTGAATAATTCACTGTTTTGCATTAAGTTTTAATTCATAATTTTTGTAAACCTGTACGACTAATTCGTCAACATTTGCCACTTCAATGCACTGTGCACGATTGAGTTGGATGTAAGAAAGAATCTTTGTCACAACATATTACATGAATATGATAAAAATAATAATGCATTAGATTGTACAATATGAAATTGCTATTTCTATAGATCGAAATGAGAATGCCTTTTTTGGGAAAATATTATTATAATTCGTTGGAATATGCACCGTGACGGTTAAAATAGCTTTCATCGGATGATATATTATCTGATACATTGCATTTTTAAAAAATTAGAATTTTCTGACTGTATAATTTCTTTAAAACCCGAAACTATAGATTCTCGATTAGGGAATCTTTTGTTTCTCAGAAGTTCCCGATAACATAATAAGTGATTTTTTGTTGGGGAAACTTCTGGTGGGCGTCGTGACTAACGCAAGACTTCATAATTTCATTCAGATAACTTTGTTATGACCTAATTTAAATTTATATTGGAAAAGCGTACGGAAGTTTTCGTTTGTTTATTCACGTAGAATAATTAAATAATTACAATTAAAATTCAATATTCAAAAGAAATAGAAAAGTACAGTTATGTTATAATTCTTACTAGTACAATAAACAATATAGATTATATTAATTTTATTTACTTTAAATAAAACAAAGAAAAAAGGTCTCCACTTAAGTTTTGGTAAATATTTCCAGCCTTTCATGAATCAATAAACATCAAAACAATTCGATTGCAATTATTCATAGATTATTAAACATTTCTCATGCTATTTCCACCTGTGCAATAATGCACAGGGTCAATATGAACATTCAGACAGGTATCATCAATAAATTCCCATCAGATTAATCAGGACTTCTTCTGGACCATACAGACGGAGCAGCGGTACATTTTGCTTGGTCAGCGATGTTTGTGCACGCTTTTAGCAAATTAGAATGCATGCTCTGAGCAGAAATTGCATCGTTCGACTGTAGTATTGACGGAATTCGTATGTCAGTCCAAAGTCTGCTTTTTTCAGTCTGCATTCATTTTTATCTTCTCTAATTACGACAACCGTGATTAACAGCACACGTCTGTACGTACACGATAAAAAAATTTGAAACGTTTTATCGAAAACTGTAATCCGGCTTTTCAATATATGCATATATCCGAATGTAATAAAAATCTCACAATAATGCAACAAACGTGTTCATATACCGTTCGTGTCTACATCAAATAAAATATGCGTAACGTTGATAAATAAATAACTAAAATGTATTTCACATTTCAAATAATGTATTTATTCACTTTGTATATTTCATTATGTAATTGGTACAGAATGTACAGATTTATTAATATGAACATTTTTCAGGAACTTCTGGAATAAGGTGATATCAAAATTTATTTGATCGGTGTAACCAGTATGGAAACCAAATTCTGTGAAGGATGGAAAATATTACAAACAGGGGTGCAATATTTTTTCATACATTATCATTTATTTACGTATATGACAAATGGGACAGAAAATTGGTAACGGGGAATACCAACACGTAAATTTGATATTTTATGGTTTGTACTGGTCATAAAAAAAACAGACTAAAAGTATGAAACATGTTTTAACAAAGATAAAAGTGTATCATAAAGAGTCTTTGAAATCTAAAATATACACCATGTTTCTTAACACGTTGACTGTTACAGTGAAATATTCTGTACGTAACCAGATACGCTTTATTTCGTTTTTTAGTAATAAATCATCGAAAATACATGCGGTCCGTTAATACACGTTGCTGGTTATGTTTTGAATTATATTACGATATTATTTTTACGCAAAATTTTATAACGGTATTTAAATAATCAAGCCTTCTTGCAATGTACGTGTCACCTATATTTGGTTGAGGTAATAGTCAAAGTATTGTAAATACGTTTTATTTGACTTAATCTCATAAGCGTGACTTTTCGAATAAATATGCAATATCAGGCTATTACTTTTTCTGCCTCATAGAGTCGTATATTTTCCAAATATTTAATCAACGACAGTCGCGTAATTCTGGCGAAGCATCGTCGAATGGAAATCCAATCACGGCGCAGTTGTGCTACATTAATAAATAGTCGAGGAAGTATGTATATCGACGAGATAAAGCAAATATTTACATAAAGGCTTTCATTCGCGGTACGATTAATTTCGATGAAACTCGCCTTTCACTTGCGATTCAACACGAAACTTGTTCGGAATGCTTTAATCTGTTTGCAGTAATTAATTGGGCAGTTGACAAGAAAGAAAAAAAAATGTGTGCAATAAGAGCGGAATAGTGTACGTGAAATCTGGCCGCGACGAAAAACGCAGGAAATTATGAGGTCGGGTCTCTGGCTCTATCTTTAATTACTTAAAAAGTCACGGTACATACATACGTCGGCACATAGTTTGTCAGGTACAGGCTATATAACAAAGTGGAGCATGAATGGCACTAACAAACTTCCACGCCCGGGCGAAACTTGGGGTGGAAATATAATCCGGGAGACTCGCCTCTGTTCTCCCCCGGTTCTCGGTGATTCCACGTCAGGTGCGAATGTAAAACGTGATTCGCAAAGGATCGCCTCCCAACTTTTAATAAGTAGGAAATTCTGAAGGTATTTCTGGCTCGAAATAACCCCGGGTGACAATTCGCCGGGAGGCGCGAAGCGGATTACTGTTGCGCAATCCCGGAAAATGTTTTTATTCGGTGGCCTTTAATTACCGAACTAGTCGGTAGCACGCTGGCAAAATGAGAATTATAAAACGAAAAATATTAAAGTGATAAGTGAAAAAAATAACAAAGCTTTACAAAACACTTTAGGAAACTTACGTCGACTTTATCATTAAAACGCTCCAAGAATAGGTGATTTTTAGAATTTGTTCTGTAGAAACGTATACAACATATACGATAGTATAGTACAAAACATTGTAGCGTTAATTTATGCATTATTCAGATATATGAACAAAATTTGTTTTAACCCTGTTGTTCTCCTTGCTTATTTTTTATGTATGTATCCCTTTGAATAAAATTATTTCAAACTTTGAACAATTTATTCTTTAGAAGTCGATCAGTGCACTGCTGCAAAAAAATAGGTTAACGGTAGCCAACATTACTCGACGTAGAATTGTCTAAAATCAAAAAACCAAATAGATTCTTAAATGTTATATCACTGACTATCATATCAGCCTTTGCAAAGGCAAAAACAATAAAATGGCGATGTTTGGTATACATTTGAATCAAGAAGTCCTAAAAGAGGAATAATTTTACACAAAAATATGTTAATATTAACAAGGTATATGCTGTAAAATTCATGGTCGAAGGCTGATACAATAGTCATTGATATAACATTTAAAAATTTATTTAGGTATTTGATGTCAGGCTATCCCACGTCGAGTAATGTTAGCTACCGTGAACGCCTATTTTTTTTGCAGCAGTGCTTTGAGCGGCATCTAAAAAATCGTACCACTGCTGGAACTTAAAAGAAAAAAAATCTTTTCCATATGAATCATGTATAAATAAAAGCCACAATGTTTTTTTACTTACAATGTTTTTTAATGTTCTATATTTTTGTACAGAAAATAATCCTAAGAATGATTTATTTTTTGAGCGTTTTAATGAGGAAGTCTCCTTAACGCAAACATTTTAATGAAGAATGGTATGAAATGAATTCTTTACATTATTTGTAAATGTCAACGAGAATGGAGACGAACTTTTTCCGTTATTCGAAAGTCTTTTTGTCTGTAGTATTTTATTCGGAGAGAGAATTCGTGTATTTCGAAGCGTGATAAAATCTGTGGAAAAGCTGTACTTACAACAACTTTGGCACCCAATTCACCGAAAACAGCAATCGGTGGCATCTCTTTGGGAACGTATCGAAAAAATTCAGGACCCTTGTACCATTTCACCGTGTACAAAGTGTCTGACTGTAGATCGTATCTGCAGCTCATATTGACGGTTGTGCCAGCTGCTACAGCCAATGGAATATCGATGGACACATTGCTAAGTCCACGAACGCCTGAAAATAAAATGGTATTACTTCGCTGGCAGCTTTTGAATTGACCGTTTGCATGCTGAATTTATTTACTTTGTTCGTGAATTCAATATGAAAACACACACAACGATGTTTTATCAAAACAAATCGATTAGGAAATTAACAAATCTTATTTTATAACGTTCGATGGAATTTCTATTTCTATTGTGTTCTTAGCCTGAGCAACATATTATTTAATGTGTAAATTTAAATAATCATCGATGACATTCATTTGTTTACGTATTTTAAGCAATTCGTACGACTTCTTTTAAACCACATATGACTTTGGAAATATAAATATTAATATTAGAGGTACTGAACCATTTGCTAAGATGTGTAATTTTTTGAATCCTAACCTCGCGCCTCAGAAACGTTATTAGCGAAGGTATATAAGGAACTGGGTACGGTGCTGACAGTTAGTAGTGACCCAAATTGAATGTGCTTAATAGGCACCCGGAATAGGCGAGGCACGAGCTTTCTTCAAATTGGAACTATGCCCCCTTTTCTTACAAGCGAGGTAAGTGGCAAGTACTTATCCTATGATAACTTAAACGGACAACTGCTTAAGAAACTTTCTGCGTAAGCTTGGCAACGTCAGCGTTAACGTTAGCCGCCCTTGGGATTACCGTCGCGAGAAGAAAATCGCCGCGGAGTGACAGGAAAAGTTCCGGCATTGGCTCCGACTTTTTAATACGTATCTCTCTAGGGAATTGTGCGGTTTACTCCTTCTACGTGCATAAAGATGTAAATTTTCAGCCTCCTTCATTTAATACACCCGAATCACGGAGACTGGTACCATCTTCCCTTTTTTAGGAAGAACGTGAAATTACGATTCGTACAATGTCCAAATTGTGCGAAATGTTACTTAAGGCGTTCAGTTATTTTAGTGCAATTTAATTTAATGAAATAAATGAATAAAATTTAGATTGCACGTATTTATATTAATTTCATTGGACATTATATCCAGGCGTTTTTGGATGCATTTATTAAAGAGTTGGAATGAGGTTAGTTCAATTTTTTTTTATTTAGTCTTTATAATCGGATCAACCGTTAATCTCAGGGTTATTGGCGGCTACGATTGCATTTAAATTATGAAATCATGAAAATAATTTTAAATCACTTTGACTTAAATAAAATGAATAATACTCATGTTTACCAAATTCGGTTTAAAATCCTCACGACGAATTTGGTTCGTCCTTCTAAGGCAACCGTTTAAGTATAAATTTTTCATAACTTTTCACCATTTTCGGCGAGAATGCATTTGCCAATTCGTTCTGTAAAGGGTGTTCCTTTATGTACGATTTGAGTATGTTTCCAACAGTTATACTTCTCTGACCTAATAGTTGTACTTCTTGCATCTGGTATACTTATTGTTGAACTTGCAGCGATATGAATATGCAATGTGTATGCCCACGGCGATGTTTGTATACCTACGATAGACGACGCAACGTGGCGAATACCTGGTTCAGTTATCGCCAACGGGCCCCGCAAGTTTGTTCGTCTCGTGGACGTTTCAGCTTAAGAGGGAAAAATCTGTCGCAAGTTAAACGTTCGCCCCGCGGATTTGCGAGATAACCAAACGGTGTACGTGAATGGAACTCGTCGGGTCGGACTAACGGACGGCAATTTCGTCGTTAATTAACAATATTTTCAATACTTAGAAGATGACCTACAGAAAACTTTTTTTATTCATAACGTGTTTAATCATTAACTTGTATCTAGGGTGTTATGTTCTCTTAACATTTCTGAAGAATAATGCAAGTGATATAGAATAAAAATTTAACAAAAACATATATTTGTATTCCAGAAGTAAAAAAATTTTGATTCAGGTCGGATGAGTCGTGTATTCGCTATGTGAAGATTAATTAACTGATAAATCTCCAATACACAGAAACTTCATATATTAGAATACTCCACGTATACCATTTAGATTCAATATATTAAATGATAATTACTACATAAAGTTGATAATGAACGACATAGTAAACAGATAACGATTAAATTAATAATTATGACCACAACCAAAATGTATTATATCAGATGTAATGTTTATTTACAATGTACAGTCGTATGCGTAAAACGACCGGCTCTATGTAAATACAGTATTCTGTTACAAAAGGGACATTCTAACTTTATTTTAAAACCACATTAAAGAACCTTGTCGCTCGTTATATAAATACAAGTATAGTCTGACACGTATGTGGAATTTAATATTTTATTCCGTTTGTATTAATAAATAATTACTAATTACGGTTTCTACTGACTTTGTTCGCTTCTTCTTCTACTCCTTTAAATAGTATCTGTCTCTGTATCCACCGTTACACACACATATTCATATTTATGGCAGCAATTATCGTCGCAGACTGAACTTCGTGACAACATTCTAGAATACACGTGTGTGTAATTAGTGCCAGTAACCGGAACGTATGTTCTGTAGATTTTCAATATCGAGACACACATAATCAGTTGTTTGACCTGAGAACCGATACAACGACCGTGCGTATTGGCACAAGAGGGTTTAAACGCGATGTATAATCTAGTTCAATTTGCATTTCCATGCTGGAATGTTGATACTATATGGAGTGGCTATTGTTAATAGAACATTGGTACGCCAACGTGGTTAATTTATGTTGTATGCATATAATAAATATTGAAGTACCTTATATTCCTATATTTAATGCCACGATCAATACTTTCGAATTGATTTCTTCATAGAAGATGATTTCAAATATAGTACAACGATATATAATTAACTTATAATCAACAATTCCTTATCGAAATACTCAATTCCATTATTCAATTTTACGACTTCCAGCACATTCATCGTCACTTTTCTTTTTCAGTAATAATAAAAAGCATACTGTATACAGATAATTCACTGAGAGTAGTTTATTACTTGTATAGTGAGAGTCAAAACACAGTAAGTATACACCTTACAAAGTTGAGGTTCGTATAATACTACTGTAGTATTATACTGAAATTTTCTGCTGTTACTACGCACGGATCCATTTATTTTACCTTCTGTTGTTCTAATTCGATTGCAAATAAAAACTGCAATTTACAAATGGTATTAAAGAAATAATACCTTATTCGAACACGTAATGTGTACTGGATGTGTACATGGGATTCCAGAGAGCGTAATCGATTGTTCGGGCCAAGGATCGGCTGGTACACACATACACACACGCTCGGACTCGCCGACCATATCGTTCCAGCGAGATTTAAATACCGGGTGCCTTGCTAATCACCTCGCTAATCCTTAATTACGGCCCCGGCACGATTGTTACTCGCATCACGGTCGGCGGAACACGCATCTTCCGTTTTTGGAAGGTGAAACCCTCCCATAAATAACAGTAGCCCGAGACAATGGCGTCGCATAAACTCTCTAGCTATACATCAACCCCTTGCCCTTAAATTATCGTTGGAATAATAGGGCGAGCGTGGCTAAATCCCGAAATCATTTTTCTTTCACTACCATTTCACCGCGCGTTCTTCGTCAAATTGCACAGGCCAACGTTAAACACAGACTATTTGGATTAGGTGCGTTGTATTCTGTTATTTAGGCCCAGAAACTCCCCTGCGAAGTCGAAGCTACTATAATTACAATAAATCCCGTGAATTATTGGCTTTCGATGCGTGTGAGATTTCCTTAGGAAAAATGATATGGTAGAACTGCATCGACAGTATTGTGAAATTCAATGGTACGTTGTGTGCGAAGTATTGTCGTTGGTTCTTAATTTACATGAATTTTGAGATAATTTAATGAAGAATGTTACGAGGATGACTTAATTATCGATGTAAATGTAATCTTGATGAAGTACGATTAAATTATGTCAGAAATTTTTAAAGCGCTTTGTAGTTATTAATTCTATTAATGATACTGGTATTGTAGAATATACGGTTTCTTAAAGGTTACACTAAATTCTTATAGTTTTTTATTAAATGAAAATATAATGTAGGTACCCTTCACCGTCTTGTTAAGAAATGTATGTTCACTTAAATATCGGTAACATAAATTTAATTCGCCAAATTTATTTATACGTTTGCCTAAATTCATTTTTCACTGGCGAATGTGCAAATTAAGTTTAATTTATTATTTCACAAAGTTAGCTCGTATCCTTGGGTATTTCTCTGCTCCTTACACTGAAATCAATTTAAACAGATACATGACCTAATTAAAAATTTTCAAGCACCGTTTCTATCTTTAGAAATGAAATTATTCCTATAACAAGCGAAAGATTTCTTCGTGAAACGAAGTTCTATAAAGAAAGTCATATCAGCCTTATAAATGTATGAGTTCATAAAAATTTCGTTCTACTTTTAAATTAAATTTTCCTTAAATTCAACCATTACGTTGACATTCCCATTTACAGCGATTTTTATTTCATTTACATCATAATATTTTTTTCTACAGCTTCTAAGGTTCCTTTCATTCTGCAATTAATATTCAGTTATTACGACGTCCCCATTCCTTATTAAACGAATCTGTATTGGGTTTTATTGTACGAAAAATAAATTCTATTGAAAATGACCGTTCGCTCCACTGAAGATTTCGTACCCTAGGCGTTTAAGTACAGTGTGCCCGCAGAATTTTAATCAGGCCTTAATTACTTATATATTTCTGGGCTCAATGGTCTGGCCACGGTGAAGAGTCCCGTAAGCATTATGCATATCCTCCGCAAAATCCCCTACGGCCGCGAAAACGGAAAAGCCAAAGGCGTAAAGAGCTTGTACTTTGAAATGAGATCCCTTTCTTTCTTCAGAACTCAACTAAATGAAACCGCATCCTTGATGCACCACCAGTCGGTTGTGCCTGGCTTTTATTGTTTTTGTTGAAAGATGAGAGATAAAAGGACCGAGTGGAAGAAGTCTTTGAAAATATTTGTTGCCACGAAGAAAAAACAACGGTCGCCGTCTACAGTCTGTTTGAGGATCAAAAGGACAATAACAGCAACGAACTATCTTATTAAACTTAGCCTGAAGAG